GGTGTTCGGTTGTTTGAAGGCTCCCATTATTTTTGAAAAAAAAAACATCAGTCTGCTTTGACCAAAACCCTAAAAAATGGCTTTCTGTGTGATTTTTCATATAAAAGTCTATTTTTCGAGGAAAATTTCAAGAAATGTCGATTTTGGACCAAATTTATGGGCAATTAGGTGTTCGGTTGTTCACAGACTCCCATTATTTTTGCAAAAAACATCAGTTTGCCTTGATCGAAACCCTGAACTTTTTTCGGGTACTTCCCGTACAAAAGTGTCATTTTTCAAGGTTTTTCAGGTCCTCAGCCGGAGGCTTATGGTACGAAATTGGTAAATCAGAATGGGCTCAAAATCAATCCGAAGCTTTGTCTCGACATGCCAAAACTTTTGGCTCTTACAGATCTCAATTATCTTGTCAACTTTTTGAGATATCCGGCGAACAAAAAGCTCGGACGCGGACGCGGACGCGAACGCGAACGACGCCATACGCACATCGCTATTTTGCACATATTTCATAGTAAATAACATGTTTTTGGGGGTAGATAGGTCTTGATCGATAGAATTTGATCCCATCTACATTGCCTAGTGTACAGATATGTGCTTTTTCAAGTTTGGCGTGACGTTATAGTGGTCCGAAAGAGGAGATGTCATGAAATTTTGGCTAGTAAAACCAATACTTTTCCTAACAAACAAGTTTGCGGAAAAGTAATACATAATATTTATATATGGAATGTAACGGGACAAATTGTTTTTTTTTATTTTGGTGCACGAAAATTATCCGTTTTGCGAATGCTGAACAGCAGATCGGTGGAGAATTTACAATACATATGCATGTGCACACAGACCGTTCCAGTGCGCGCCTGTGTGTTAGTGTGTTGTTTTGAGTAGCATTCTGATTCTCAATAAACATTTTGGCTACTGTGTGTATATTATTCATATTTCTATGCTGCTCTGTGTGGTTTTGCTTATTGCGTTGCCAACCTAACGCACTGAAATGTTCAATTTTTAGTTTTTAAGCATCGATACCAATTTATGAAATGTATAATACTCTGTATAAACATGTCGTATAACGAAATCAACTTTGATATCAATTATTTTGTGGTTGGTGTTAATTTTAAACTTTCTATCTTTTCTCCTAGGAATATCCAGGAATCGGCGTTTCACCAGGTAATTTTATTCAAAAATATATATACACAAATCTTTCTTATAGAACACAGACACTAAAAATTGACAATTCCTAACCACTTTTGGACTAAAACATAGGCATAAAAAGACAGCACTACGACTGGGGGAACGTTTGATAAACAATGATTATGGGAATTCCAATAGATGGCGCTGTGTTCATATTTTTACACTTGGGTCCAGTGAAATTATAACCGAAATCTAAATATGTAAACCGAAATCTATATCGTAAACACTCCAATTTGTAACATAAACTATCAATTTTCCGATTTGCATGTCCATTTCTACAAAATTACTTCATAAATTCCCAACATGTTTATATCTATTCGAAAGAGAATTTATTTGGCTTTTATTTGATGTATCGGTTGATTAACGAAAAATTCATTCAATAGTTTAATTTTTATTTTAATGAAACTGAACTATCCATATTGTAAACTCCAAATTGAAACATAAATTCACAAACTTATGACGAAACTTTATGAACCAAATTCGATATGATTTTGGATTTTTTTTCGTTTATGTTATTCAATATTTATTGTTTAAAAAAAAATGCAAACAAGAATATTTACCTAGGGGGAAAGAACGACTTGACGTATTTGCCGTATTCACATCCATTTGCAAGCATTTGCATAGCGATCCTATGTTATTGTTGTTGTTTCCATGTTGCTTCGTCTCGTTTGTAGTGAGCAGTGCTTGCTGAGCACGAATAAGAATGGCAAATACGCATACATCTTCTGGCATTCGTTTGTCGTATTTGCACGCATTTGCACGTTTTGTTAGGCATTGGCAATATTTCCATGTTATCTTTGAATTTGTGTCGTTCTTTCCCCCTAGATATTTACAATATCATACATTTCAACACTCTGAGTGATCGGCACATTGCGAACTGTCACATCCGTCAACACCAAATCAACCATTGATCTTTCGTTCAAAGTTGAGTTTGACAGCAGCTTTGTATGTTATAATTCGGAAAGAATTAGTTACAATTGATACATGAAGCTGTGAGAATGAAAATGGCAATACAGGAATAAACATTCTGAAACGAAACATAAAACAGCAAACACGCAAAAGTGAATCATGAATGTCTAAGCAGCAGCAGTGAACCATGAGTATCGGTACGTGTGCGTAAATTCATGATTTGCTTTTACACAGCGCTCATTCAAGATTCACTTTTGAAAATTTTCTTTCTTAGCGGCACTTCAGTAAATATTTTTGTTACGTTGCGTATTTGTATGTTTTCGTTTCATGAGTCAATTTTAAAAAAATGTTATTCATTTCCAAACTCTCCGTAGTTTTAATTCAATCCAGACAAAATATATTATTTCTGTGGTGTATCGGTAGTGAAAAGATGCGAGTGAATTGAATGCTATGACAAGAATGAATGCTCTTTATTAAATTACTTATAACTAAACATGCGAATGTAGAAACGTCAAAGTGAACCATTTCAATGAGTCAATCGTTTCATACGTGCAACTATGAACTGTCAACTTTATTCATATTCAACATCTCCCTTCTCAAGATAGTTGCACGGAATTCATACTTTTCATTTGTTATTTTACATTGTTTTAGATTGATGATCTTATTTACATCTTTGAAATACTAATGTGATAGAATTAAAAAAAGTATAGAATTATAAAATGCGTTTTTGAATGAACATGATTCGATAGCAATGTGATATCGTTTAAATGCAAAGCTTGTATCGAAGAAGCTAGCGATTCCGATTCGGTTGCAATTGTTTTGTGATTTGTTCAGCTGCCCTCTTCGAACAGGCTCGTTGCAGTTGCCGCAGTTGCGGCTCAGGCATGGGCAAGGGAAAGCCATCAGTTAGCGTGTTATCAGCCATAGTGACTGAATCATTTGAACTATTCGCTGTGTCGAACGACTCCTCTCCCCCCACCAGATGCTTCATGCTCATTTTCAGAGGTCTCTTCATCATCGCTGGATGCTCCAGTTTGTTCATCATCTACGATATCAGTCGGCTCGACTTCATCGTTTTGCTCTAACGTTGCACTTGCTTCCGATGCACCATCTTCATTCACTGCTCCACGGATTTGATTTAAGTGACGTTTGATGTCACGATTTTCTCGTATGAGCAAACAAGTGTAATTGCGAGGACCGATCTTGTGCTTAACAATTGCTGGTGACCAACTAGGTTTATTTGGATTCTTGTAATTTCGGACATAAACTTGTTGTCCCTTTGAAAATTCGACGTTACGTTTGCCTTTGTAATTCTTTATTGCCGTTTGATTTTTTTGTATGATGGTTCCACGAACAAGCGGTGGTTTCATCAAACTGAATCGCGATTTCGCTTCTCTACCAAACATTATTTTTGAAGGTGACTGATTTGTCGTACAGTGTTTAGTGATGCGATAGTCGAATAAAAATTTGTTCAGTACTTCATCCATGTCGATGTTCTTGTGTTTGTTAATATTTGCAACAATCGACTTTTTGAGCGTTTTGACAAAATTTTCAGCTTGGCCATTAGTGGACGGATTGCCCGGTGCTGTGAAAATGTGATTTATGCCATTTTGTTTGACGAACTCTTGAAATTCGGCAGAAGTAAATTGCCTTCCGTTATCGCTGACAATGATGTCAACTAAACCATAACGGCAGAATGTTTCCCTCAACTTGGCGATCACAAAAGCTGATGTGATGTCTTTCGTTTTAAACACTTCGACCCATTTAGAAAAAGAATCAATCACAATGAATAACATTAATCCCTTAATTGGACCTGCAAAATCGATATGAATTCTTTTCCAAGCAGAATCTGTTGGAGTCCATGGAATTAGTGAACTCTTCTCTGGATTTGGTTGTGTCAATTGACACGGTTCACATGACTTAATCATGAATTCAATGTCTTTATCGATATTCGGCCAATAGACGTATGAGCGCGCGAGTGACTTTGTTTTCACAATTCCCAAGTGAGACATGTGAAGAGCTTCCAAGACAGTTTTTTGCAATTTACTTGGAATTATCGTGCGATATCCCCAAAGAACACATCCACTTTCAACTGATAGCTCAAATGCCTTCGATCGATATGCTTTAAAGTCATCACCTTGCAAATTATTGAGTGTGCCATTTTGAACGGAATCCATTATTTTCGAAAGAATTGGATCACGGCGTGTATGCAACGCAATAGTTTTGTAATCAATTTGTGTGATGTTGACAAAACCGACATAATTTATGTATGAAGCCTCTTCATGGATTGTGGTGGTTGTCGCAAACGTGACAAGCTGTCAGACGTACTAAGTGCGCCCTTGACATACTCAATAGAGTAATTGAAACCTGAAAGAAGAAGAGCCCATCTCTGAATTCGAGCGGCTGCCATCACTGGAATACCTTTATTCTCTCCAAATATTGTGACTAATGGTTTATGGTCCGTTCGAAGAATAAATTTATTGCCTAACAAGTACTGACGCAATTTCGTCACACTAAAAATAATAGCAAGTGCTTCTTTTTCAAACGTACTATAATTTTTCTCGGCGTTATTTAATGCACGTGAGACAAATGCAACCGGTCTATCAGATCCATCTTCAAATATGTGAGATAAACGCAGCGAATCAATTACACTTTTTGTCCTTTCTTGATTCTTACTAAGACCATTTTTATCCACATCAAAACCTAAGTATGATATTTTGCTCTGAAAGAATTTGCATTTACCGACGTTCAGTCGTAGACCAGCTTCTTGAAGCTTAGTCAGCACTTTCCGTAGCGTGCTTAAATGTTCAGCAAAATTACTTCCTGTGACTACTATATCATCTTGAAAACAAAAAACATTGGCAAACTGAGAAAGAAGCGACTCCATTGTCTTTTGAAAAATTGAAGCGGCTATCTTCACGCCAAATGGAAGTCTTTTCATGCGAAATAGTCCTTTATGTGTGCTGAGAGTGCACAACTTTTGCGCATCATCGTCCAGAACAAGTTGATTGTAGGCGCCAGATAAATCGAGTTTGGTGAACAATTGTCCTCTTTGCATTGAAGCGAAAATTTCCTCAATACGCGGTAGTGGATACCGAAAGTCTTTAAGGAATCGATTTATCGTTGACTTATAATCGCCACATATTCTGATTTCACCATCAGATTTTGGAATGGGTACAATTGGCGTACCCCAATCTGAGTCATTTACGGGTGTGATGATGTCTTGCTCAACTAACTGCTGTAACTGTTGCTCAATTTTCTCACGAAATGCCATCGGTATGGGTCTGACCTTACAAAAAATCGGAGTGGCATCATTGATTAATGGAAGCTTGACAACAGTCGTGTTGCATTTCCCTAAACCATTTTTGAAAATTTCAGAAAAATCACTTTTGATTTGCGAGATGATCTCATCGTATGAATCTACAAAATTTACTGAATTGTTCGATTGCACTAGGTCAAATTCAAATTTTCTCAAGAAATCACGGCCTATTAACGTTGGTCTATAATAATTGGTCACAACAATTCTTCCACACTCGATCCGTCCATGCAAATTAACACAAGCTTTGAACTCACCCAAAATATTTAATTGGTCACCTCCGTAGCCCGTGAATGGTTCTGTGCATGGTCGCAATATGCTTCGATCGAACAGTGAATTGAAGACCTGGATAGACATGAGAGAGCCATCCCTATGTAAACCCATACACAGTTTCTTATAATACTGCTTCTTCTTCTTCACACCGTCGTACACAATGGGCGCGGCCATATTGAACATGTATACAGTGTATCGAGTGCCATTTGTGAGTGTATTGAGTGCCATTTGTGAACATTTTAACCAATATGGCGACTTACATGTATAGATGTGTTAGTTAAGAAGAAGAAGAAGCAGTCACACTACACCGTTCGCATACGGACGGAGAGAGCACGGAGCACCGGTATCACAGTCACATGTGTGGTCAATCCTAGGGGAATTTAACTCTTACGAGTTCAGCATGTTTTCTGCCA